GGAGAGAGGAGGAGAGGAGAGGGGAGGAGGGGAGAGGGGAGGAAAGGGGAGGAGAGGAGAGGAGAGGGGAGGGGAGTAGAGGAGAGGAGAGGAGAGGAGAGGAGGGGGGAGGAGAGGGGAGGGGAGGAGAGCCCCCAGAGACGCACAGTAAACATAGCTGTGTGTGCAACTGGCAATGTAAAGTGTCAAACAGCTACAGTAAACACAGACAGGAGACAAAGGGGGGGGGGGGTCCCTGATCACAAAGGGGAAGACTAAATTAATAAAACTAAAACACCTCTGTGTGTTCGGCCCTACCACAGCGCCGTTACCAGCAGGTCATGTAGGGCCCAGGGTCAGGTAAGGGACCCCACAGTGAGGCAGTTCTACACCTTATCTGCCCGTTACTGCCCTACAGTGTGTGGTCCAAAGCGTGCGGACACCCCTGCATGCCAGGTGGTCCACTGCTATTTAGAAATGTAAAAACACACCTGTGGCCTGTGGCGTGCATCAAATCAGCTGCGTAGACCTTTTTCACAGCAGCCATTTTAATATGAAATAGTAGGGCAAACACAGGCATTACCGATAATAATAAATGAATAATTAGGATTTTGTTCCATTTAGTGTAGCAGCACCCTGACTGGAACCTTAACTAACATCATTGGTAACACCTGTGTTTATCCTATTATTTATATAGAAATGGCTGCTGTGAAAAAGGTCTGTTGTTTTCTGTGCTGGTTCACACACTGTTGGCATCTTGAGACTTGTCATTGCAGGATATGCTGTTGTCCTATTGCACAGTGCTGACGTGCATCAGCTGTCCAGAGGAGGATACATTTTATCACTTTCACTTCCTGGATTGACATTCCAGCCAGTACCAATGCTACATGTAGCTAAGCTTTAACTACATTTCCCAGTAGCAGTTGGGTGGCGTAGCAAACTTTTTAAATACCAAGTACCGGGGTAGTGCGCCCAAAAGCTACATTAAATCGGCACATTTTTTTATAATCTATTAATTTTTTGGGTGATTTATCAACCACAAGTGACAATCATTTGTTGTTTCCAGCTTCTCAGATATGATGATTTCATAATTTTCTGTGTTTAATGAACAGTAAGTCTGTGTTCAGACAAAGAAACCATGTGTGAAATGGTGATGGGCTTGTTTCAACAGTTTACAACTTAAAGCAGCAACAAGGAACCCTCATTGTGTGTTGATTCTGGCGGCCCCTGTGGCCAAAAGTGGTAGTGTTTCCACCACTATGTTTCATTGATTTCAAGGGGAATCTGATTAAGAATAACTCTATAGAAACAACCAATCTTCTCCTTTATGGTCTCGTTTCCTTTTGCATCAGTGACTGTTTCATAGCCAGTTAAAAACTCCTTGTAGTTCGTTTAAACAATGGTTTTATTAATAGTAAGATCATTGAAGGAGTAATATGTACTTTCTATCCGACAACTGTGAGCCAGGCCTTTTACCCAACATCAGTGTCGGGCCTCACTAACGCTCATGTGGCTGAATGGGAGCTTATCCCTGAAGAGTCTTTGAAGAGTCTTGTTGTTTGGGGTTGTTGGGGCAGTTTCTGTGGCTGGCTGTGAATACACTGCAGCGTTCAAAAACTAGCAATTAACCCATGGTGTCCCAGCTCTGTGTGTGTGTGTGTGTGTGTGTGTGTGTCAGGATGTCAGAGCATCAGGTGATAAGCTCCAGGTAGTGACCACGGTTTCTGTGTGACAGCAGGACCCATGACCCTGACACGAGGTTCCTTCAGCTACTCCAATGGCGAGGAGTACCACGGCGAATGGAAAGAAGGCAAGACTGACCTGCTCACTCACCCGTCCATCCTCCATCACTGGCTGCAATTGCATGTACAGCAGACGTGTTGTTTCAGTGTGATTAAGACACTAATGCATGTAAGACTGAGCCCATGTAACCGCACTTGTATGTGATTCATGTAATAACAGCGACATACTGTATGTGGAGTGCTCACACTTTATTTGCATTAACAGACACCAGCTGGGACATGTTTACAGCTTAGTGATGTTTCTTGATCTGAGGTCAGTCGCTGTAAGGACAGTGGTGAGGGAGAGCACAGGCTGAAAGAGGCAATGAGAGGTGAAGCATAGATATCTTACAGGTTTTAAACAGGTTGCAAGAACAGTCAGGAGAACATTTTTCAGAACATTTCAACACATTTGGGTCTGTTGAAAAATCCAAATAAATACTAATGTAAATGGACAGAATTCAATCAATTTACTCCTAACAGGAACAACAATCAGAATCACATCAGTTGTCAGTGACAGTAAGGGTGAATGTACAAGGAATTCAGATGTGCTGGGTCTCTTATTATTATTATTATTATTATTATTATTATTAATAATAATAAAATGTAGGTAAAAAGGTGAATTATGTAATGCATGTAAAATAATTAAGTATTAAAAAGTCGTGTATAAAACAAAACAGAAACTGAGGAGATGGGTCTTTTTCTTGTTAATGCACTTGGTTACCGGTCAGTAATGGAAAACAGCCACCTTCATATCAAGAGTTGTAGCCTTTGTTCCAGCGTGCTTGCTTTGGACTTTCCAAGGCTGAGCAGTATGACCATGGATGAATTATAAGAACTGGATAAAGCCGCGCTGCTCAGCTTTGCTTCCAGTTTTTACCAGTGGCCACTCGAACTGACAAACAAGGTAAATTCTTTTGATCATGAATAGTTTTATTATTTTCTTTTATTATTTACTTATTTTATTGTGTTTGATCTTTTTGAGGGTTACATTTGTAAAACTTCCCTCGAGCCGAGAAGAGAACTCGAGTGGGAACTCGCGGATGGGAAAGTAGAAACACTACTGCGCATAGGTCACCACATAACCAGGAAGTAAAACTATAAAGAAGAGGCTCGTCTACCAAGACAGCGCAACAATACGCAGAGCGAATGCGAGTGACTGTGGAGCCTTTCGGCTCCGCTCTCAGTGAGATCGGACAAAGCTTTCCCCAAGTTCTCCCACTATCCCTTCAACGCGGAGTATGTTAGTTGGGTTCAGAAGTTTTTTAAGTGTTTCTTTCGCATCTACACCGAGCCTTGCGGGAGACTAACACAGCGGTGAAGGCCCAGCCTCCAGGCACTTGCTTGTTCCCTTTCCGGGCCTGGATCCCAAATGAGAACCCGTTCTCCCATATCTAGGCAAGTTCCCAACGGTGCCAGTCTGCAGCGCCTAGTCTGGCTCCTTACCTGGGACCAAATGTCCATATGAGACCTATCTGACTCTCCCAAGTCAAATTAAGGGCTATAAGAAGTCTTTACAGGATTGGAGGAACAGTTGATTCCCAAATAGAAAATTAAGTCACAATCATTCCTTCAGTTCAGTAAGTGATTCTGGAGAAATCCAATAACATGACAAAAAGACCTCGATATAGAGCAAACAACGGCATAGCAGATAAAGTAACCGCCATTAGCTAGGTTGGGGGTTAGCATAATGTCGCTTAAGTTGCTTCTTTGCAGCTAATGCATGAGTGCATAGTTAGCGTTGTGTGGCTCGGTCCGATCCGACAGAGCCAGGGCTGTGTACAACCAGATTTGTTTTCTGTGCACACACAGAGCGTAAAGCTAGCAGGCTGTGAGGAGATATTCACTACATTGGAAAAAAGTGCACCTAGAATTAATTCAATTACCTAGAATTGCTTACCCGACCTTTAAGTTGGTAGAAACATCTAAAAAGTGAGTGACAACCTAACCCTATGTTGGATGGATGTCCACAAAGCATGTTTCAAATTTTTAAGTATAATTGTTTGTTTGAGGGGTAGGAAATACATTCATTTGTGTGTATCCTCACAGATCCTCAAGGATTCACACAATGCAAAGTCAGACTGCATGCAAACAACTTCTGTTTGATCCACAGGAACCCCTCTATGTTTCACAGACTGAGAACGCACCCACCGACAGTACATTCCTGAGGTTGCTGCTCATTCTCAAGTCTTGTTCCATTTGTCATAATAATGATGCGATGAATTTCAGATAAGGTTGTGAGTTTGAGAGCAGTGTTGCATAGACGTTTTCACAGCAGAGCAGGCATTCCTCTGGAACGTGTCTGATGCCAGTGCTATCATACAGTGGACATTTGGCCTTATAGATGCCTCCCTATGGTAATATTTCCTTGTGAATGCAGTGTTTTTTATCATAACACAGCTTCAGTAGAAGCCAGAGAGATGTGATTTACACTTGAGTTAGGTCGCGTTCAGGCCGACTGTAGCCCTGCAGCAAGGGGGTCAATGCAGGAGAACCAAGCAAGTTTTCTGGCAAGGCACTGCTCTGGCACCTTCCTGGTAGATCACTTTGTAACATGAACACACTCAATATTTTCTTCAGTTACAATAAAATTGTTGCTGCTGTGATTTGTAAAATCCCAACAAACCATTGTGCGGTGTTTGGGTGTCTGATAATCCTTTAAACACATTAATCTGTTACTCAAGCTGGACTTCCTGGATCATATTTCATGTCTCACTGATACCTTGAACAACGCAGCCCCCTGCTTTGTTTTAATGCAGGGCTGATTTCAGTCTTAAGGATATCTATTAGGATAAAATGGGAACATCAGCAAATGTAATTGAAAAAAAGATTGTGCTAAAAGAAAGTTGTATCTAGCAGCTTTTAAGGAGTGACCGGAGAGATTTCATGTCAGGCTGGAGGCTCAGAAGAAAAGTGGGTGTACTGTAAATGAGTCACAACAGCCAAGCTAGCTGGCTTTTAAATGAAACCTGCAGTGGCACAGATTGCTTTTAATAAGCAAAAAACAGAAAGGGGTGTCAAACTGAAGTCAGTAACGGCATGAAAATGTACACACATATGCACACACAGACCATCTGGTGCCAGTGAGCCCGCTGAGACAGGATATCACACTACCTTAACCAGTATTTGCAGTTTGAAAAAAACACTTAGACAACCTTAAGGGCAAGGTTAAACAAAGAACAAAAGTTTGGCACTAAAGCGGGCGTGAAGCTGCGGGGAGAAACATACGGTCTGTGCACGGTTAGCAAAAAACTGTTAAACTGGTTTGGCTGCGATGCTCTGATATGCTCAGGTTTTCGTTCACAGCAGTGTGTTTTTTTTTAGCACAGACGTTTCTAAGTGATGACTGGAGAAATTAGTCCACTAATAGAGCAGATGCAGCTCTGTGTTAGCTGTTCTGCCAGGATTTATTAGCACTGTGTCGATTTATTGTCACATTTATTATCATTAAAATACAAGAAAAGTAGAAATACCATACATTCACTATATATATTAAAGAATACAGTTCCTGTTCTGGAGCTTTTAATCGTTTCACATGATCGTTGAGAGGAAAACTGCAGATGATTAAATTTTCAAAAAATCTCTCCTCTTAGTAGCTATTCCCAAAACATCACAGTCTTCATCAGAACGTTTAAGCCTACATGGAAGAAAAGTGGTTGAAGTGCTCAGAAAAATGGAAATTACAGTTCCATGAGAGGGAGGATAGAAGATCTTGTGATATTGAAAGCTGAGGAACAAATATTGGATCTGTGGTAAAATGTCCTAAACTCAAATCTAACGTACATTTTTTGTATGCTGCACCTTTCTTTAGTGAAAAAGGCTGAAAGATACAGTCAGAGGTGTAGTGCTATTTCTGTGTGTGCGTCATACGTGCAGTTAAGTTGTGGCCCGTTTTGGAGGTTATGTAACCTGTTGTTCTTACGGTGGCAGGTTTACATACATTAGTCAACTATAAACGCCAACGTGATCAAATAGACTAGGTTTCTGCATTTAAATCTTTAATAGTTAACATTAGCTAGCTATAGACTGGAGAGAAAGTTATTTAATTCACTGTTCCGCTCAAAGGCTACCGGCAGCTGAACCTGCATTTCAAAGTACCCTTGAGCAAGTTACTGAACCCCGAATTGGTCCCGATGCTCCCATCAGCGTATGAATGTGTGTGAACGTGGGATGTAGAGTAAAGCTATCCATTTACCATTTAAAAAACTGTTCCATATTCTATTTCAGTTGTTCCTGTATGGTTCGGCAGCACTATGGATACGGTCTAACACTCCATAATAAAGGAAGAACCTTGAGTTTATAACTTCTTATCACACATATTCTAAAATTGTTTGGAAACATAACACATTTTGTGCAAGTGTTGCTGTTTTGCATCTTGAACAAAGTCAGTTTTATCATGAGAAAGACTTATATATCGCTCCCTCTTCACCCATTTACATATAAATGTGTTTTTTTACCAGCTTAATAACTTTTTAATTAAATATCTCCCCTCCTTGTGCAATTCCAAGTGTAAACAGAGTTTAAGTAATTGGAATATATTTTGTAGCACTTCACATATCATTTCATAAAACACACTCTTTTTCTGGCATGTCCAAAATGCCAAATTCTGTTGATTTCAAGTGGAATTAACACCGCTGGCTTTGCTCTGTCGTATGTAATTGAATGTGTGTTGGGAGGTGTTGTCAGGAACACAGATTGACGCGTGTCGTGTCTCTGCGTCCATGCATGCAAAGTCACTGTTTGCACACAAACATGTAGGTGTGTGTCGGACAGAGGTCTACGGTGTCACATGAATAATTCAGCGGAGCGCTGGTTGAAGACAGGCCCGGGGGCTATCAGGTTACAGGAAGTCGGATGGGTACATCCACAACAGCCAAGGCCTAGCCAGAAGCCATTTACTACTGTACTTCGCCCATGCAGTCATTTAACATCTATGCATTACCGCTATTGATTGACATAAAAGCCGGACAAATTCAGCTAAACCGTAATTAGCCGGAGACCATGACCCGACACAAGATTTGAGGGAGGCGTTACAAAGGAGCTGAAAGACAGATTAGAGACTGTCTGGAGGGATCAAATCCAAAGAGACGGAAAGGAAATTACTGTCCCCTGCTGCAGCAGTCCACTCATAATCTGTCCCCCCAGTAAAAACTAAACTGTTAGCTTCATAGTGGTCTGTAAAGTGCTTACACTTGATTTTATTATATTCAATAACACCATTCATACTTTGATGCTCCTGACGCTCAATGGAAGACACTGCTCTCGGCGTTGGAGGCCAGACGCCCGCAGCCTCTTTGACACTCACACACACTGTCATATTTCAGCGGCTAGTCCGTGAAATTTCCTCCTCGGGGCTCTCACTCGCCTGTCAGGGCTCCCGCAGGCCGAAGAGTTGGATTTAAGCCCCTGTTGGCCCTCTTCTTTACCATATATACTTAATGGAGTCCTGCTTGCGCCCACACACACACACACACACACATCTGCACATATGGATGCAGGATGTTTCAGAGGAAGAAAGACTTTGAAAATGGAATGCAGAGCTCCCGATTTAGTTTCTGCCAAATCTCTTTTCCAAATCTCCCGTGAAAACCCCGCTGAGATTAGGCAGAGAGCAGCACTTTAAGCAGCCCTGACAGATGGACTGCCTAATTTACTTTGCCATTAGCTGGGAGCAGGGGACAACACTCACTAGGCTCACCCTTGCCTCACCCCCTGCCACGCAGCCCGCCTCCCCTCCTGTAAATCCCAATCCGTGTTAGGGTTTCCAAACCCCTGCCCCCCTCCAACTAGATCTTCCCCACTTCTCTCCTCTCCATCGGTTTCATGCCACTTGGCGAGCTCACAGTAAATCCGATTCCTCGCGTACAGCTGCCATGAGGAACCCAGGACCTCCTCAGCCCGTGTCCAACTGTGCCTCACATCCAGTTATTCTCCTAATGCCTGCTGGGCCTGCTAATAGAGGTTGGCAAGGAGAAATGCTCACTTCTTTCCCTCCCTGTCTCCTGCGAGTGCCATCCTCCTGATCCTGGAAATTAGTTGCAGAATTACTGGGAAAACTGGGTCTCACCTTCATAGGAACATTCTTAGAGGGCGTAAAATGAAAGGGGGCAGCTCACTTTTCTCAACTTCTGACTTAAAATAATAATGTACTTGCCTTCTGACATTTTTTTCCCATAATAGCTTCTGCTTTACCAAGAGAAACTCCTGCACACCTTCCAGTAATCCTCTGAAAGTCTCGTGTGTTATTCATGCTGAGATTTAACCTGCAGTTTGTCCGAACCTTATTGGATGTTTTTTCTTTCTGTGTTCTTTATACGTTCACCCGTTAGCTGAGTTCGTCACAAACTGTAGAACAACATGGAAATATGTGTTTAGGGTTAACCGCTTATTCTCCTCAATTGTCTCGAAGGAGAAAATCAAAATGGGTGAATCGGGATGAACCAGCTCTGACCACCACCGCTGACTGTGGTAGGATAAGAAACCTGTCAATCAAGCTAACACACTTTATAATTTACCCTCCAATTAGTCTTAATATATTCAAAAGCAGTTCATTATTCTTAGTAAGTAAGTTAATTATTATTTAGTTTGACAGGAGTTTAAGTGTTGAGCATCATACCAAAGATAAGATAGACTTTATTGATCCCACACTATGGAAATTTGCTGGTTACAGCAGCTCAAGACAAGAAATAAGACATATATGCACTATATACACCTTCTTATAGACCATTTTAGATTATTTTATCCCCTTGTGCCCTAACTGCAACAGACTTTTTACTCTTAACTAAAGACCTATTTATCAAGAAGCTGCAAGGATTTTTAACAGAGCCACATCACACCTGTTTTAACTCCCAGTATGTTTTACACCTCTTCCTCCCAACAGACAGCGAGTGAGCGAGTAGAGCACAAAAACATTTCTGTATAGTGGGAGACAGTTTAACTTCCAACAGCTCCCCAGTTTCCTTCCGAACCCCGAGCTTTTTGATGATATCCTTATGAAAAGGGTGCTGTACATCACGTGATCATTGTGCCCATGTTGACTGCCGACATTTTTAGCTGGTTGGAGGTGGAGCATGTGAGTTTTTTACACATGGAGCAGGTTAGGACATCTTCATTGGGAAAAACTGGAACGATTGGATGTTTGCTCATGGCCTCTAGTTAGGAACCGGTGTTTGAATGGATTTTAAGATCTTATTGATCACAAAAAAGACAAATAAAAGCACATGAAATTCTGGTGGGACTGTGAAGGGATCTTTAGATAAAGATATATATATAAAAAAATATATATAAACCTGCTTTGGGAATGCAATTAAGTATTGTATCCCTAACTCTGCAAACATCTGACCTCATTCACAAATGTTTTTCCTTAAATTTGTTGATAAAAATTGAAATAGATCAAAATAATCCTACTTTGGATTCATGAAAGGGGCACCGACCGCTGATTTGTTCTTACCCATGTGGAAATCTTTGTTCTTTAATTGGATGTCAGGCCATCAGTGGATACATGGGGACACTGTTCAAACAGCTACCAGCACTGAGAACATCCCACTGCAGAGGTCAGCTATCAAGGTCCGACACTCAGCCACTCAAATGACATTTGTGCTGGGAAGCAAGTTCTTCAGGTGTGACTCACTGTATTCAGCTATTCGCCTGTCTTATGGCCTGGAACGCTCCACAAGCCATACTAAGAGTCTGTGTGCATCAGCCCTGACCCATACATTTACAGATATTTTTTATTTTTAAGAAAAAATCTGATTTGTTTACTGCACGAATCTGCGCCTATAGATATTTTGTGAATAAACCACAGTGTCATTTTATTTACCTCCAGCGGCTTGCAGCCTTTAGAAGAACTGTATCTTTTTGTTTAGGGGAAGTGGGGAAAGTTCATAGTCATGTTTTGGCTTCAACCCTGTTTGTTATGGTTCCAGTTTGATCTTTTGTACTGGGATTCATGCCAAGGAGATGTCAGCGTTGCTCCAAAATAATGACATAAATAAAATGAACACAAGGGATACAATTCATGGTATGAAGCAGAAGGAAAATAACCTCCGCAAATGTTATATTTTAAAGCATACAATCAACTGTGCTTTTGAATTATTGATGTATCTCAGTAAACATTTGATCCCAAATTGGACTTTAACCTCTCAGTTCTCAAAAAGAATAACTACAACAATACACGCACAATGTCTGAGCTGTGCAGTAGGGTTGCTTTTGTTTCCACTTTATTTTCTGTTCAGGTTCAAGTGTAAGTCAGATGAATGCAATATTCTCATTTGTCCGAATGCATCATTTAACCCTGAGGAACGATTGTCTAGAGCTCTGCACCATAGAAAAAGGTTGTTTTCTAAACCATCCAGTCAATAACTTCGGAAATAAATATCTCAAAAAGCCAAATACGCTCACATCTTACCAAGGTTTCATTCTTCCATTTGGTGTTTTTGTTTTTGTTTTGTCTTGGAGGGTTTGTTAAAAATTTACCAAAAGAGCACAAAAATGACAAAGTTGTTTTATTTTTGACAGATTTTGTAGTCATTTTAAATTTCTTGGGTGGATGTTTTTTTCAGGCTTTGTGACTTTTTATTCCAGTGTGGTTCTGTTTTTACTGTTTGACGGTAATTTGTAGATCATTTATGGCACGTTGTAGTTTGTTGTTATTCCTGTGTATATTTGTGGTTCTTGAAGTTTGCTTTTAGTTCTTTGCGATGCTGTTTGTCTTTGTGGTTTTTGAGACTTAGTAGTGAGTTTCTACTGTAAGGCCGGCACAAGGTTAAATAGAATAATAAATAGAATATAATAAGGGGTGCCCTGATAGCTCACCTGCTAGAACTTCCATGTATCTAGGCTGGGTCCTTACTGCAGCTGCCCAGGGTTCGACTGCAAGCTGTGGCCCTTTGCTGGTTGTCTCTCTCTCTCTCTCTCTCTCTCTCTTTCTCTCCACCCTTTACTGACACTCTTCCAGCGTCTCTATCAATTAAAGTCAGCTGAGTTGGAGCTGTATACATTCCCAATTAAAGTTAATTAGCTGTTACTGTAGTATAAATGTACTTTACAAGATCAATTTCACAAAAACACAACAAATCTAATGACAATCCAGGCTTCATGTTTTGACGCACGATGGTCGCTCATGCTTTTTTTTTGGCACTTTCAACCTGACAGTTTCATAATTACCATCCAGTCCAGTTTGATTGATTGCCATCTCTTATTTTTTTGTGTCTTGTTGTTTTTGTTTTAGAAACTTCAGACTCTAAATGAGTCTGTGAAAAGCAGTTAATGGAAGGCACGTAACTCTGCTGTGTGTGCTTGCTGCTGCAGGTCTGCGTCATGGCCTGGGTCAGCTGACCTTCAGCGACGGGACGTGCTACACCGGGCAGTTTGAGAACGGCCTCTTCAAGGGCTGTGGGGTGCTGGTCTTCCCTGATGGCTCCAGGTCTGTGCTTCACTTCCTGTTTATCTGACCTTTAAAAATAAAATCACTCTTCTGCTTCATCTGTCTGTTTGTTTTGTCTGTGCTTCATTTTCATTTTCAAGTTTATTTTAATATTTTAATAATGCTTACCTGACAGCAATACAACCTGTCATAGATGGAGACATGTTCACAGCCAACGATTTTTTATTATTGATTCATCTGCCAATTATATTTCTGCTAGTAGTTTGTTTATGACAATGAAAACGGAGAAACAAATACCCATACAACTTCCTCAGAGCCCAAGGTATGTCTTAAAACGGTCTTTTTTTGTTCAAATGTCCAAAACCCAAAGATATTCACTTTAAAATGATATTTGACAAGAAAAGCAGTAACGTCTAATAAGCTGGAACCACAATGTTCACAATTTTTCTTGAAAAATTACTGAAATCATTAATTGATTGTCGGAATATTTGCCCATAGTCTTTCTGCCAATCAAGTCATCAGTTGTTTCAGCTCTAATTAACTTCTGCTCCATTAATTCTTCATCTTTGAAACCCCTGGCCCTGGTTGACTGCAGGGCTGCAAATACAGAATATTTTAATTACCAGTTATTCTGCAGATTATTTTTAGGATGAATTAATTCATTGTTCAGTCTATGAAATAAAGGGGGGTGGATTGTTTGATATTAGCATAGGTAGCGCCCCCTAAACACTGTATAAGGGCAGCTGGTGTGCCGTATGCAGACTAAAAATAAATTTATTAAAATAGTTAGATGCAGAGTAGAAGAAAAAAATATAAATATATAAATATAAGTATAAGCATAGTAATGTGTTGAATTATTGATGATATATATTGCACCAATCTAAAAGCAGCCGTCTCATAGTCCAAACTCCAAAAAAATCACTTTAATTACTCTAAAACTTAAAATGTAATCTTATTCTATCATACTCATCATTCAAGTTTAAAAACTCAACCACTCGTAAAATGTCCTCTTACCGAAGAGAAGAGCAAAAACAAGAAAAGCCTGGTGAATCCCAGAAATCAATCAGTTCTAACAAAATAAGAATTAAATTATGGATATGAACCAAAATCAGAGAAAATTTGTTCGTATTTTACTTCTTGCATGAAGTCCTAAAGCCAAGGATTTCGTCAAATATCATATTTTGTTGGACGAAAAGTTAAAAACCCCAGAAACAGCAAAAAAGCAACACATCTTAGAAGCTGGAGGTTTTGTGTGATGAATTATGATGAATTGATTGTCAAAAAGGTTCAATTTGTGTCAGTTCTTTTTCTGATAAAGTTTCATGGTCATTACAATTATTAATGTCTCCAACAGGAAGGTCGTTAAAAGTGAGTTCAGGTGCCTTCAGTCTTTTTTGTATGTTGAAATATAATGAAAGAAGCCAATGACATTTAGTGTAGCACAAAATTAGATCTCCCACCCTTCACCCCACGGCTCACTCAACAAACCACACATATGCAGAAAGTGAGAAAGATCCTTTCTTACTTTTAAATTGTTTTCATCGGCTCAACATTTTGAAAGTTCTTCCTTGCTGCAGAAACATCTACTACACTTTTTTAATTTATTTATCAGAAAAGACTTTAATTATAAGATGTCACTCTGTGACCCTTATAATAGATAATAAAAGAAATTATTTCCTCCTCAATTCAGAGGGTTTCTCTTTTTTAAATTTGTGTTTAGTGGAGGTGAAATGTTTAAGAAACAAAGTGTAGCCTGTTCAAGGACATGTGCTGAAAAAAACAGCTTAGCTTAGGGAACATGTTTTCAAGTGTTTAATGAGTATTACGCAGAACATCTCGTCTTTGATGGAACAGGCTTGAATGGAGGCTCTGAAAAGTTTGGACCTTGTTCCTTCACATGCAGGGGACAGCTGCTGTGGTCACAGCCGCTTCAATAGGTTCCTAAGTCTTATATGAAAAAGTGGAGATTGTCTGATGGTGTTTTGAGCACTAAATCAAAATTCCTTTTAATCTGGGGAAAAATCAAATGCAGTTAAATGTTACTGTGCCTAAGCCCAAGTAAGACTCTAATGATTCCTTTTTAAATCAATTTGGTTTTGAGTTAATTCATTTAATTTTACTTTTTATCATTGTGAAGCTTATTACGACCCAGCTCGTAAAGGGAAAAGAGAAGTTAAATCAGTTATTTATTATAAGGAGATCAGATTTCTTTTACAGACAGAAAAAGGTGAGGCAAAAACTGCAGAGGAATTATTGTTTAAATTAAATACATATAACCAAAAGAGAACTCCTAGAGCTTAAAACTAACTACCTGAAATAAAGAAACATTAAGGAAAATCCTCTCCATCTAAGTTTACTAATCAAAACCAAAACCAGCCAAAACAGCACCGCTAAACCAGTGTTTCTAGACACAGACATTCTGCGTATGTGTATGTATGCCCAGCAGGTAGCAGACAATGCCTTAGTTCTAGTTTCTAGAGAGCACACAGATTGTATTGTACTTTTGCTGCTGCCGTCGTTCACTGCCTCTGGATTGTTTCTTGAGATGTTACTGATGAAGGTTGCGACATGTTTCATATTCCAAAGAGTGGAAGCAGCTATGGTGATTCACTCATAGCACGCTCCATTATCAAGAGATATAAAAGGCTGTTTATGAGCCAGGGCGTATTGGTTATATGCTTTTATGGTTTGCATTTAAGTGAAACTATTGATGTTGGATTGAACAATTTTCTTCTTGCTTTTGTGTCTATTTCTGATATATATTGCTATTGTTTTATCACCCAGGCACACTGTTTTCATGCTGTTCATTCAAAAAAGGCTGAAATTCTGCACTATTTTACCTGTAAAAGTTCTTTGTATAAAGAGGAATGTTTGATTATAAATAGTCATGATGTACAGAATCATAGATGTGTTTGTTGTGCTGCTTCACACACTGTAGTTGGCTGTGTTGTGATATTATTATCACTGCATTATCTGGAGTCAATTATGCTGTAGTTCTGTCAACTCTAATTCACCGTTTCTGAACTAGCAGAGAAGCAAGCAGAGAAGTAATAAAAAATGCAACATTTGTCACCTTTATGTGTGTGATTCTAAGGATTTGCTTTAAGAAGCTGAAAAAGAGCAACAAGATATTTTAGAAAGCGTTTTAGATTCTGCATGCAGAACAGATCTGACACCGTTATGTGCTGCATTTTTCTGCTGCCGCTCTAAGCTCTATATGTTTAAGAAATGTTTTGATACTATGTAAGTCACAAATAGCTTTTCCCATTTTCCATTTTCATGCCTAAAATTCCAAACAATGTCGTTATTGATCACGTACCTATAAAAGCATTCCTCGTGCTTTTGAAAAGCATCCCTCCTCGCCCTCCCCTCAGCTCTTTTCCTTACAACTCTTAAACTATTTAAGTTAGAAAGCGCTATTATAGGAATGTGGGATCTTTCTCTAATTTTTAAATGTGTTTCATGTGAATGTTTTTTTAGGTATGAAGGTGAATTTGTTCAGGGCAAATTTCAAGGTGCCGGCGTCTTCACTCGCTTCGACGGGATGAGGTTTGAGGGCGAGTTTAAAAGCGGATGCGTGGATGGCTACGGTAAGCCTTCAACTCATTTTCCTCAGAAAGGTACATTTGACCCAGAATGTTGTTATTTTTAAGATATTTTACACCAGCATTTCTGAGAGTGGGGGCTTCCTAAAGGGTGAAAACTGTCAGGAGGCATACTCTGTAAACTTGACCAACATCCACGTCAAATTGATGCTTTCAATAGAATAGCATAGCGGTGTGTATTTTCAGCTTCAGTTATTTTCATACATGGTTGAACCAATTTGATTTGGAATTGTGGGTGTTATTTTTTCTCTGGTTGGGGTATTAATACTGAAGGATTTTATGAGAAATCTACTTACATGAGTCACTTTACTCAGCTCGCCTACTCAAGGTAAAGCAAGTAACTGAGTGCAACTCTGAGAAAGTGTGCCAGGGCTCAGGCCACTATTTGGGACAATAAAAGCCCAACACAGAAAGGCAGAGGAGAGAAACATGGTTTCATCTCAGAGTATGTAATAAAGACTAGTCTCAATATACTTTTGTAATTTACAAAAGATTGAGATTACAAAACGTGCTCCGTGTGTGCACATGTACCGATACCGACTGATACCTGAACTCTGCAGATCGGATGATACCAATACAGTATACAGTATATTAGTACTGTTTAACAAGCATACACTACTAAGCCTGTATGATTGCTATCATTGTTGTATGGCCTTTGTCAGAATCATCATTTATGGCCAGGACTCCCTTGAAAAAGAGATT